CCTCATGCAGGTAGGTACTATAGAGGTGTAGGTACAATAGAGCCAGGAACAAGGAATAGGCAAAGTGAGGGCTATCCTGCAAAATAGCCGGTTGGCACTAGCTAATCTTGTGACCACAAGCTGTTTGTAGGCATTTTGTGCCTTGTCCTCTTTTTTTTTTTTCCACTTTTTGTTCCCTATTTCCACATACTGATGTCAAGATAGACATCATCTGCGTACCCTAGAAAGAGCTAAATATCAGCCCATGTTTAAAAAACAAAAATAAAATTTCTGATCTCTGAAAAGTCATCCTTTCCTTTCTAAAGGTTTGTAAGAATTATTTACACTATAAATCTTGAAAGTAATATTTTCTGTGAGAAGATCTTTTTACAGAATGCCATCATATCTCAGCCATAAGTTAGATCTCATTATGGAAGTATACGTATATGTATATGCCTATGTACTATGCCTAAATACTTTATTTTAAAAAAATTAATAATGCTGGACTAGTATCAAAACTCACATGTTAATGTTTGCTTATGAACTGAGAGCAGTATTTTTATTCCCTGCTCCTGAAGCTAGTACTGAAGGTTGTAGCAAAATTTAGAAAATATGTTTTAAATTCTGAAAGACTTTTTTCCCATCTCAATGTAATGTGGTAAGTTACAAGGAGAAAAAAATCTACAAAAATGACCCAGCTGTAGAGGAAAAAAAAAGGAATTAATGATAAGTTAGTGTAAACTAGACATGTTATTTATTCTGCTTTATATTGGAAAAGGAGAACCTCTCTCATTTTGAACCCCAAATTGATTGATGCACTTCTCTTAATTAAAAGACCCTCACCTTGCAAGCACTGATATCAGTAGCATTTTCAATGCATTATAACTTTCACTAGTGCTTTGTATTTGAAAATGTAGCCTTCCAAATTGATTTTTCCACTTTAAAGTGTGACTTAACTAACTTATCAGGAATTCTTATAGCCATATCCTTAAAACTTTCTGCATCTCTGTGAAGTGTTTATACAATGCTTAATAGTGTCTGCAAGCTGCTGTTTTACTCAACTTTCCTGAATTTCAAACATCTATATTTTACTCTCTTATATGCTTTTAACTAAGGTATAGTAGATGCATTTTTGCTTCGGTACTAATTCGAAATGTAATATTCATTTCTTTAGAAGACATTTTTGTTGTTGTGCATGCCTAGTGTTTTGTATGTTGTATATTGCATTCAGAATATTTTTTTCCTTCTCACCTATCCACAAATGCAATGCCGTTCCCATGATGCACCTCTGCTTGCTGTTTACCTGTATGTTAATTCGCTTGAATCCCATTGGCCCACTGCCATCATGTGCTCGCTGCCTGTTATTAAAAGACTCAGTCGACTGCCAAAGCAATGAAGCGACCTCTCGAAGCAACTGTAGACCTGGTACTTTGACCTTTCACCTTTTGCTTTGCATGTAGCTTTTGTTTTGTTGTTGTTTTGCTTTGGGTTTTTTTTTTCTCTGAGAAGCAACTAATGAAATTTGTATCGCTTTACTTTTTTGAACATCAACCGGAAATGATTTCACATACTTGTTAATTTACCAGAAATTCTATTTATCCATCTCATTCTCATACGTAATAAATGCAGACGATTTAGTTTCGTTCCTAACATGGTTTCATTTTTTTAAATATCCTCTCATGAAAAGTTGAATTGAGATAAAACTGCTTCTGTAATTGAAAACACTTAACGTAATCCATTAATCTATATAATAATAGGAAACGATATTTAAATAAAAAAAAGAAAATACTTGGCAATGAAACACAAGTGGTTTTTTCTCCCTATAATATTTGAAAACTTATTTAAAGGCAATGCCATTTTCGTTGCTTTAAAAGCCTTTCTTTTCAGTAGTTGTGCTGCTACAGTTTTAGGTTAATAGTACCATGCTTTTGCTATCAATAACAAAATTTCACTCATTTTACATTGCTGTGCTTTGAGTTAATATGCATGGCGAGGCATCTTTAGCTGCTTTAAAAAATAATAAGTTTTTGTATTTATGTATATGTTACAGACAACGTCTTAAAAATGGCACCATTTTAACTAACTTTCTTATTTGCAGGCCTTTCCTCCTGGTGTTCTTCACCCTTTACCAAAGAGACAAGCACTTGAAAAAAGCAATGGTGCCAGTGCCGTTTTCAATCCCAGTGTCTTGCACTATCAACAGGCTCTTGCCAATGCTCAGTTGCAGCAACATGCAGCGTTTATCCCAACAGGTATGTTGTACCTACATTGAACCAATTTTGTGTTCTTTAGGTAGCTTCCGTATCAGGCAGTTTCACTAAGCAGAAGGTTTTATTATGCTCCCTGCCCTACTTGAGGTAAAGTCTGCACAGAAGTAGGAGAATTCAAGCAGAAATTTCAACATGCCGTTAGGCTGCTTTTCACATTCATAGTCTCATTCATCATTGGCCACAGTTTGTCCCTTTTTTCCTACCTTGAATTGGCTGTATTTTGACTTCTATATGCCAGTGCTCTCCTAGGAGATAAGAGGGCAAAGTTCCACTAACAAAAATGCTGGGAAAAGCATCACGCTTCAGAGATGCCATGGGGAAGTATTCCATGGCCACAGAGCATCCTCCTGTTGTTTTGCAGCCATGGGGATTACCCCAACCGCGAAGCGAGAAGGGGAGCACCAACCATAACCTTCCAGTTGATACCTGCTTGGAAGCACTGGCAAAACACATTGCTCCCTGCAGCTGCACTAAAGGGCTCTGAGGCATCAGATGCATTTTAGTGGTTTTAACTTTGGAAGACCAGCAGTACTTTTCCTAGCATTTGCGGCTAATAGTCGGGGTTGTAATTCTTCATAGGGGTGATCTGAAGACTAGTGAATGTAATTTGCATTTCAGTGCTCAGAACACTGTAAAAATCAGAGCATTCAGAGATGGCTTGAACTGCACCGTGTCTGGTGGTAGGGCTTCTCTTTAACAGTGCAAGAGAGAGAATGTGCTAGGTACTCGTGTAAGCAGTAACAACATAACCCTCTAAATTGTGTCAGTCGCCCCCACTCCAAACTTCCCAAAGGTAAATATCCCGCCTAATGAATTCTGTGATTTCATTTGTAATTAACAGATTACATATTTTAGTATCAGAATGTTATAGAGTGTGAACTTCCAGAATTGTTTAAAACTACGTGTTTGCAAATGCACTTGACATTTCAGCAACATTATTTTAGTTTATAGAAATAATGTCGGTTAAACAAGGAATGAAGCACAGCACTCAATGATTTCCCGATCTATCAGCATTCCCATATGTTTTTAAAGATAAAAACAAACACAGATGGCATTGACTTCATGGAGTTTTGCTATAAGGCCTGAGTAACAACCTTGGAGCCTGCCCCTGTATTTATAATAGTAAGTTATAGCATGCCGTATTTTTGGCACTTTGCTGCACCAGACTATCTGTGTCAGAAAACATACTGACATTTTATGGGAGTGCTTGGGGGGGAATAAAAAAAAAAAAGTATGAGACTGCCTATTTGGACATGAATGGAAGACTGCCCTGTGCTTACAAACATACAGAAATTTCCACAAATTTGTTTTACATTGTAACCCTGAGAATTTACAGTATGATATGCATTATTCCTTCTCTTAAGCGCTCCCTTTCAGGGCTCATCACTGTTAACTGCAATTGCCAAGGATTTGAAATAAAGTATGAAAACTGCAGCAGTTTAAACCTTTTTCAGTGAAATATCATTTGGATATTTTCCAGACTTTCGGAGTGCTCATGCTTCCTTAAGTAGCTCATTCTTTGTGCTTTTTATTGTCCAACCCTCTTTCCAACTAATCGTTGTAATTATAGCTTTATGTTACAAATTTCTGATGATAGGAAGGGTGGGTCTTGTAACGAAACCTTAAGGGCTAGGTTGTTGGCAAGCCCCGAAACAAGTGCATGAAAAAAGAAGAAACAGAGGGATAACATAGCAGACGGAGCCCAAGCCTAGCGTAGGAAATCTTTCTCCTGCTCTTTGTGACCACCACCAGCACCTAGAAAGGATGTTACAGAGAGGAGTGGGGTATGCGAGGAGGTTAGGAAAGGGGAACCCCCTCTATATGAGTGCGTGTCATGAGCTTTTTGTTAAAGATGCTATGTCTGATATTCCCACATTTCCTGGGAAGGCTGGATTTGGTGGGCGTAAGGACTGTCGTGCCACCCAGGTCTAAGGAGCGATGCATGACATGATCTGTTGGATTTTAAATGATTATATGATATTTTTTGAACTGGTATAATTTTCAAATGTGCTCCCTGTGTGTGTGTGCGTTTTAAATTAAAATTTAAGACAAGTTTTGCTGCTGGAATGTATATAAAACTTAATTGTTTTATATAACTTCTCTGCTTTCTTAACCACTTGCTCCCCTAATAAAAAGTGTGGGCCTTGACTTAGCATGGCTTACCTCCAAAGTTCTGCACTTTGTTTGTTTTACATCAGTTTGATTGCTTTGTCACCTTCTCCTTATTGTTTGGTGATGATCTTAAAAATAACAGATCTTTTCTGTCTCCCCATTGCTGTTTGTTAGTGTTTCTGTAGCCTCTAGAGGAGGAACTCTGTGTATTCTCCGGGGACTGTTCTTGGGTAAGGTCATTCATAGTTACACTGCTACCATGATGGTCAGATAAGAGGCTACTGTAGTAATTAAGTGGGAATACAGGAAGCATGTTTGACTTTGTGTCAAATATGCATGTACTGTGGGACTAGTCTCTTTGTATGCTCACCTTCACCAGCTCACTATATGCACTGTACCAAAAACGCTCTCTTCTTTTTTTCATTTGGTCTTCCCAGAAAGGTTAAAGGTGGACTAGGCACCGGAACTAAACCACACGGTGGGTGAGCAGTACTTCCAGAGCAACTCTGAGGTGTCCTGGGAGCCTTTTGCTGAAACGTTACACACTTTGAAGTGTTTAGCTTGGGGACTTGTCCCAGTAGTATTTTATTTGGTCAGAAGCACCTCTCCACCTCAGTTGTTGTCTTAGGAATGAGTACATTAACATCAAATGGAAATTTAGCAAAGCTCCTGCAGAACAATATTGGCTAATTCCACTTTAACTTCTTTCTCCGCTGCACATAAAGAAGTTGGTGGATGTTGATCTGCATAATGCTGAGAGTTAGGAAATGAGTTCCAAAATCCCCGAATAATGTGATATTATACCAAATACATGTCTGTAAACAGAAACCTGTTGCTGCGAAAGTACTAAGTGAAAGATAAAAGTACTAAATAAAAAAGTTTATGAGGTATCTTGTATGTACACAGAAACATGCCAGAAGTCACAAAGTATACTTGGGTAGGAGTTTAGTAAGAACATAATCACCTTTTTTGTGTTAAAGTGAAACTATGAATGACCTTACAGTTTCATTTAACTAACTTACTTCTCTGTGGTTATGCTTGAATCTCACTTTGAATGTTAACTCTAAACAGCTAACCTGTTTCTTCCCTTTATCCACTTTTTTCACCTATCATTGCATGACACACAGGGTCAGTTTTGTGCATGACACCCGCTACCAGTATTGGTAGGTTCCAAATTTCTTTATTGATCTCTTTTTATACTGTATATTATGTATATTCACTTGTTTCAAAAATCCTAGGCAAGATTTAGACACTGACTAGAATTAAAGGTTCACTTGTCCTTCTGGTTGACTTTGCAGAGTGTTTAGATTTGTAGATGAAAGCTGCAGTTTAGATCTGATACCACCTGCTATAACAACTACACTGCAAAAGCATAATACCATGAATTCCAGTCTGCTTTTCAGTTGTCAAAGTTTTATTTCTCTTTATATTTTATATTGTCTAGTACTCTAAAATCATAAAATCCTGGAAAAAGCCAGCAAACTTCATCAGTGTTTTAAAGTTTCATAGTGGTGTGCCAATTTCTCCTTTTTGCTGTGTGTTAGAAAGTTTTATCAGCGTTTCCCAGAAATACCTACTTTGATCCACAGAGGTTCTGTTGAAACCCAGGATCTGAATCTCACTCCTCCTTTAAATGTATTTGCAGCTTGGAATTAACATTTTGGACATACAAAATGGAAGTCCAATGCAACAGCCTCTAAGAAAAGTAATCTTTCTTCTATTCTGTAGCCGTATCCCAGAGATTTTTTTTTTCTTTTTTGTGAGACTGCTTGCATAAGCAGTTAAAATATCAAGCCTTTAAAACATCAAGTTAATAATTCTTCCATGAAGATGCTGGTTAAAATTCATTCTTAAAATGAGCAAAAGCAGCAACTTTCACAAAATCGACCTTGCTTTTATAGATCAAACAAAGTAGTATTTAAATCAGGAAAATTATCATCCTTCTCCTGATTTTTGCCTCAAAGTAGATGGTAATTTAACTCTGATAAGGTCTAACAGTTATGCAGTGCTACAAGAAAATGCGTAAATTGGATTATAAAGGAAGACTGAGTATCTGGCTTACTTCAAAATGAAGATACATGAAAATAATTAATTTGTAAATTGTGTTTAAAAATTAAGATAAATATTTATCAGTTTCCTTCCCAGTACAAACCACTGTATTTTTTTTTTAGTGGAATTTTATTTTGGCGTGCTTTATATTGATACTGGGGGAAAACAAATTGTCCATGTAACAATTCTCAGGTAACAGGCTATTTTGGTAGAGACCTCATTTGCACAAGTAATCCTGTTCTTAGAGATAACGCTCGTGTTTTCAATGGTCCTTGCTCTTTTTTCTGGGAATCGCGGATTGTGTTGACAACCTTCCTTTAATTGTACTTGTAATAAGCTATTTTCCCTTTTTTTTATTTCTCCGCCACGCTTTCTCGCTTTGCACTGTGATTGCATGCCATCTGCCGGTTTAACCCATGACGATGGCTTGCTGCTCTTGATATTCACCATGCCAAAAATACCACTTCTCTTACCATAATGCTGCACCCTCCTGTTCATTGCTTCCATGGTTCCCCTCCTGAAAGTACCCATGATGCACAACGCTACGGCCGCCACTGTCTCTGCAGCAACAACTCCTGCAACAAGTGTTCCCTTCGCCGCAACAGCCACAGCAAATCAGGTTTGCTCCTTTTAAAGCTTTCTTTCACAAGATCCCGAACTCTAAATGAGTGCTGAGATTTTTATTTCAATTTTTTATTTTAACAAAAAAAATTCTCCCGGAGAATTTTTTTTTTCTGTGTTTACCCCATCAAATTTTACTTTTATTTTTAAGTCATTTATAGCAAGTGTTTGTGAGACAGGTTGCACTTATTTAGAGTTAACATTTGTTGCAAATAATGATGTAGCTGTGTTTTGTGTTGCAATATTTGTACCTAATTACTGTGTAATTAACCCAGCTGGAGTTACAATCACCATAGTACTGGACTACTTACAAAAGTCTATTATTAACTCTTAAGTTCAAAAGGAAGAGCATCACAAGTTTCAAACGTTCAGGTGTGTTAATGTAGCCTTCCCCATGCAGTGTGTGGAAGTGACTAATTTGTAAGCATGGAAGCTGTCTAAAATCACAAGCGGGTCAAAGCAGCTGGAAAAAAAAGAAGGAAACAAAACTGAACATTTTCCATAAATGCTAGTGATCAAAACAGCACTCAAGACATTTATGACTATGCCTGCTTTATGTTTGAAAGTGTATCTTTAGCCAGGGAATTCTGTTTCCCTAAGGAGGGGGCAGTTGTTACAAAGAACCCCTAGGGTTATTGGCAGAGGCAGGCTAGGAAAGATGATACTGTTTCCTTTTCTTCTGTGGTTTGTTATGTTAATGGAAGTTTTCATTTTGGTAGGGTTCCCCCTTCCTTGGGTAGGACCTGATTCCCAGGGAGGACGTATCTAGTGCAGCTCAGAGTGCGTAGCTTTGACTCCTCCAGTGGGGCTGTAGAGATCCCCACCCTGATGCGCCTGCCATCTGCCCAGAGAGGGGTTTGCACAGCAGTTGGGTTGCTCTGGATTTTCAGTTGCTTTGGGACCATACTTGGGCACTTCTACCTGAGAGCTGTTTTCCCTCAGGTTTAGGAAGGTCAAACTGAGGAGGAAGCAAACAGGTTTGCTGATCAAGAGAAAAAAAAGGGCTGTGTCCCCATCACCTTTCCTTGTGTTGCTCCTGGCCAGACCGACAAGCTGCAGCAGACCCAGTAGAAATGTTCACCCGTTGTTTAATTCTCCTCCACCTGCCTGAAATTACAAATAAATCAGTGAAAATGTTTTCCTTAATAATGTTATACTAGCAGATTTTTTTTTTTTTTTTTTTACTGTCGGTCCCCAAACTATTTAAGTATCCCATGGAAAAATAGAAATTGCCACAAGAGTTTGTTTCTAATAATTTAGGAAAAATATACTACCTCTGAAATACACCCTACTTTCTTAAAGAAACACAAACCAGTCTGTTTTCTCTATTTTTTTTTTGAAAGGCTCGTTTGCCAACATTGTGGTGCTTGTGCTTCTAGCATTTTCATCAGGAGAAGGTTGTCTTTTTGTGTGTTCTTTTCTGAGAGCTAGCTTGTTTTAATGAAAAAATACTTGGGACAAGGAGGAAAGTGCAACAGGTAAATCGTGCACCTCACTGTCCTTCCCAGAACAGCATCTGCAGCAAAAAAATTGTTTGGTGGTGTTCAGTGTAGTTTTGTGATCCCAAAGAGATGACATAGGGACTAGAAGGTGCCAAGGGACTAGGAGAAAACGGTGTCCAGTGCGGGAATGCAGCCAGGGCAGCTCCACCACCCACACTCCTGAGCACCAGAGGGGCTGGCTGTGGCTGAAGTGGAATAAATAACATGTACAGTTAAGAGGAATACTTTCACACGAGTAAGTAGTGCCACTGGGGAGACATAGGTGTGCCTTAATGCACCTTCTCCTATAGCAGGACGGCAGCCAGAGTCCCTCCTTTCCCAGGGCAGATTCTTTTTGCATTGGAGGAGTAGAGCATTTTAAGTGTAACAAGAGTTGTAAAAAGTGTCTGTCTGTATTTATTTAGTTCCATATATTTGTGTGTCTGTATATGTATAACTCCATGCTGAAATTAAAGGACAGTTTAACACAGGGATGGGTTTCAACTTGTTTAACTGCAGCCACTTGGAAGTTTGGCATCCAGTTCAGCTGCTTTTCTAGAAGTCCATGTCAGGGCAGGGTAGATTGCCCTGGAGGGTCCTGCCTCTTTCTCTTGCCTGTGGAAGGAGCGTAGGTGCGTAACCAAAGCTCTGCACCCCTGCACGTGGAGCAGATGAATCCCACTCCAGCAGCTTTTCTTGTTGGCTTCTGTAGCGTGTGCCATTGGCTGTCTGTTTTCTTCTCGCTTCTGGCTTTGTTTTAGTCATTGCAAATCTTTAAAAGCTACTGTAAAAAAACTGTGTATTTGAAAGCAGGGAAAGTAGTAGTAGTTACTACTTCTTTATAAGAGGTGAACCTCCAAGTTTGCTATTTATTTACAACCTCCTAAGAGTTGAAGACAAAGCTACAGCCCTGGGAAGGGCCCCATAGCAACTCTGTGGTCCTAATTCTCTGTATTCCTCTAGCCCAAGAAACACTAGAAACACTTCTGGAGCAGGTAATTAACTTAGGTTGAGACTTTGTTCACGTTTATAACATCCTTTGTGTCCTCTTGTATGGATTTAAACTCTCCTGTGTATTTCAGAGAAGGACTTTATTTAATCTAGATAAAATTTCCATTCCTGATCTGCGCCACACTGCTTTACTTATCTGTGGGATATGGTTTCCTCTTTCCAGTGTGTCTAACACACTTTTTTATCCACCTGCAGCCTTCAGCCAATCCCATTTCAGCTCCCATAGCTTCTTTTCACAATACTAGGCATGAAAAAAAAATTGTAGCAGGGCATAATAATTTAGTTCAATATCATTTGCCTTAGTATTCTGGCCTGCAGAAAGTTTGCTGGACTTCCTTGGGTTGAGCATGATGATCCAGGTGTCCTTGAAGCACCAGTGGAAGGAAAAATCAACAACCCAAAAAGTCAGAGTCTCTCAGCTGACAGCTAAAAAAAAACCTAACAACTCTGTTGGGTCCAGTAAATTATTTAGTACGTGCTGTCAGCTTGTATTTTGAAAAAAAGATGAACTGTGTCTCATGTCTTCTATATGTCCTTTCTTTCTGAAAATAACATGAGTTACAGCTCAAAATGTGCCTGCATTGACACACACGCACAGTCGGTCATGCTTGGCCAGCAACTCTACGCGTTGTGTATTCGATGTATGGCATGAGGCACGTGAGAAGGTGGTGTAGGCTTAAAGGCTATACCGTAGTACATCTGTGCAGGGTGACACCAGTTAACGAATATATGGAAAACTGGAAGTCTCTTGCTTTTAGCGATGTACAGAAGTTAGGTTTTAAAACCAAAATAATTTTCTTGCAGTGTACTTCAGAGGGGAGGAGAATAGCTTTGTCTCAGTGCAGTGAAAACAGGATGGAGCAAAAGTGCTTTAACAAACCCTGTTTTACAAAACCTGATTGAAAACTGACTCGGTTGATACAAGAGCTGGTGGTGGTGCCATTCACTGCGTCTGGACATCTTGTGAGGGGGTGTTCCTGCTTACGCTAGCTGCCACGCTGTGATGAGAGGGTATGGAGGAGGGACTTCAGCTTGGGATTTTCAGTGAAAGGCAGATGGACTTCCAAAGATACATGAGGAGTCTGGGAGCATGGCTGGTAAGAGGTGAGAAGTCCTTCCCCTTTTCTTTTTCCCCCCTTCACAACTGCCCTAGCCATTCCCACCAGAGTGGGCTGGAAGCCGCAGCTGCTTAACCTCACTTCAGGGTTGGATCCTTACTGACTTACCTTCAGTTGTTTTTTGGGCATGCTGACAACGTTTTCTTGGAGGATGGAACCAGCAAAGTTCCAAAAAGTGTGAAATTACAGTGAAACACAGCTTTAGGGCATGTGTACGGAGGGTTTGGTCCTAGCTCCCTCTAGTGCATGCATGTGGGCAGAGGTATGTAAAACATCTTATTTAAAATATTAATACAGTAATTGTGTGTAAATATATACTTCAGAGATCTTTAACGAAGCTTTCAGTTATTACTCCTGTAGCTAGTGGACTAGCAGTACTCGAGCAAGCAAGGAAACTGTTACCTGCTCAGCTTTGCTCACAGGTAGCCATAAGATTTCACAGAGGATGATCTATCCTAATGTTATCTGAGAGAGGTGTTATTCTGAATTTTGGGAATGAAGTTCAATTTTGGATAATGCCAACACCTGTTTTGGAGGGCTATAAATTTTGTTTGATTTACATATATGTATTGATGAGTCCTACAAGGATTAACAGGTTAGGATTCAGCCCAAAATTAAGACACCTAAGTGTTGGTGTCTGAGTATGGGCGTCTATATGCAAGTGGAAGTGTAACTGTCCATTGTAGACTGGGAAGGTTCTCCGTACAGTTGGATGGTGTAGGGTGTAAAGGCTTAACTCTAAAGTTAAGAATATAGAGAAAATTGGAAGTCTCTTGCTTTTAGTGACTTACAGAAGTTAGCTTTTAAAACCAAAATAATAGTCTGGCTCACCCTTCAAAAGTCACACAGGGTTTGGTTCAGTTGCCTAAACATGTGTTTCCTGATGTTTAAGATTGTCCTAACATAACCTGGGATATCTAGCTTATCCAAGATACTTTGACAAGCTTGGCAGATGCAATTCAGGACCTACAGACAGATCTGCCTGCTTGTGAGCTGGCAGCTGGACGACAGGCAGGAGACCTTAGCCCAAATGGTACTAAAAGCCTGGTGAGCAAATGACCTGAGCCTGCAGTGGGTGATCCCATGAAGCGATCTCCAGACTCCATTGTCGTACTGACTAAGTTGTATCTCCCCATTGACTGTGACGGAAGGTTAGCCACCAGCATTTCTGTGCCTTTATCTGTGTCCTCAAGCTCAGTGGGTGCTTTCTTAGTTCTTGGTTATTACAGGGCAATTACCAAATTCTAGATGATTTTGAAGGAAATAGTCTTGCTCACATCACTTCGGTACAGAACGGTACGTGGCTTTATTTTCTGTAACAATGAAAATGGCCCAAAGACTGACAGTATAAAAACAGCATTACAGAGAATGCTGCATAAAGGTGTTAT